TCGTTTTGTTCTTCAGTCTAGTTGTGGAGGGCGTTGCTTCACTGGCCCAAGTTGGCACCATCATTGCGCTCTTCCCGGGCGAGGCAGATCAGTCCCCGGCTTCTGGACGCCACTCACGCTGGCTGCTGGCTACACACGTACCCCACTGCAGCAGGGGTTGCAGCCTACGCCTTTGCCAGCGACTCATGGCAGCCCATCTCTGTTGAGCTGTTGTTCAGCATCTTAGCTGTAGAGGGCAGTGTTACTGGCCCTCATATGTGGGATCTGAACTGGGGCCCCCTGGCGTCCCAAGCCAGCTCTTCACCAATGCACCACTCGGCCGGCCCTAAAAATCAGTTTTTATTGGCAGATACACTGGGTAAAATTTGCCCACAACAGAACCATGCCCCTTCCCCGCTACTCCCAGCTGCCCTTTTCAAGCTTTAACAGCAGTCTTCCTGACATGCTCGAGAAGCAAACGAAGGCTGGAAAAGGTAAGTCAGTGAGAGCATGTCCTCGGCTTCCACCTCCCACTGGTATTCAAGTAGGACTGCCAGAAACCGGCACACACAATGCTGCCAATCAAGTAAAAAAGTCTTAGGAACTCTGCTCAGTTGTCAGGTTGAGATTTATGAATGCTGGATTTTCATCTCAAAAGTTGAAAATCTGGGTGTCCTAAGAAATATAATCAGGGCGCCTGGTCTTCTCTTCTGTGCTTGTATGGTACTGTGTGGACAAGTTCTTTGGGATTCATAATTCTTTCCCTCTAAAGAAGCTGCAAGAATGAAGGAACTGCTGAATACACACAAGCACCCAAGAATTATCCTGGGGAAAATTCTGGTCTGGGCAAAAGCTGCTATGGGCCTTGTGAAGACGTGGGGAAACCCCATCAGATACTGTGAAATAATCCTATGGAGGTTTAGTGGGTGAAGATGTAATTTTCTTCTGTTCCCTAACAAAACAGATAGGAAACTGGAAAACACTGGAAATATCCTGAAATGGGGGAAAAAGGAATAAGACGAAAACATGATACAGCAATACTTATTAAAATCTTTATTCATTTTATTTTTATTTTTTAGAATTGAAACCCATGAATTGAATAGAATTGAAACATTAGAAATTTAGGTGCACATCTGTCTTGTTTGGTGTCTGCCCAAGCACAACCTCTATTTGTGCAACAGCTCTGAGAGGAAATCCTTGGCAGGTCAAAACAGGGTGGTTTGTACACCGCCCTTTTAAGCAAATAAATTAGCTTCCCAGTAATTCCCAGTTCCCCCAAAACATTCTGTATTTGTGAGTAACACCTTAGTTCCTTAAAAACCTGTGGCAGTATAGTACCCAGCCCCTACCTTTTCAACCCAGACTCGAGGAATTGGAGGGAGAGAAACTGGCCTTCCCTGTAAAGAGGTTGCATGAAGTCAGACCTGGCTCCTTCGTGTGCGTAGCCAGGGCTGCTAGCAGGCGTCTGCCGAGTGAATGGTCTTTATGTCACTGAGCATCAGCTCTCAGGGACTGAGAAGAGAACCTTTGCTAGCTTCAAGCTCTTCAGCAACGTAAGTCAGTGTTTCCCTGTGTCAAAATAAATATGTTTTCTCTTGCTAAAATACATATGACTATATACATACATATACCTTTACTCACGTTTCCTGAAGCTCAAGCGTACTCATACAAGACAGCTCACTGACAGATGCTGTTTTACCATCATTGAAGTGTGGCCATTTACTGGTCAAAAAAGAATACAGGAACCATTGAGAAGGGAGGATGAAGGAATATGGTAGAGGGGAGGGGGAAGCCAAAAGCCTGTCTTTTTGAGAAAAGATGGATTTCTTTGGAAGAACATGCTGCCTTCAGGTCACATTGAAAAACTGCCATGTATAGGATTCATCTTTCCCAAAATAATATGCAATGAATGTACCCAAATTCTCCCATTTCCTTCTTAAATTTCATTTGATGTATTAATCCTGAGTGCAAACAAGGAGAACTGCCTTACTAATGTATTACTGAACAATACTCTGAGCAAATCAGATCCTGTTAATTTGCTTTGCACAGAAAATTATTTATGGGCAAACCCACAATAAAGCCTCATATTAAAGAACAGTTTTAGAATGAAACCTCTATACTTATGTTTCCCCACTCAAACTCTGGAATAAACATATTTCAGAAGTATGAGAAGGACAGGACATAGTAGTCAGTTCTGATTTTCCTAGTTTTATAATATTAAATTGTATCCACGCCTACCTACCTTTAGATATTAGCTAGGCACGCCCTACTTCGGAATGACCAAAACCCTCCCAATGGGTTGTTTGATTTAACAGTGCTAGATTCTAAAAAATAAATCATAGAGGACAGTGTTACAAACCTTTTAAAAAGTTATCTACCTCTTTTTCTCAGACAGAATTTAGCCATTTGTGAATTTTAGGGCTATATATTTATGGTTGATTCTCGCCACGATTCACCTAAACATACTTTCCCACCTTAATCCAAACCTGACTTAGAATGTAAATGTATATTCTCAGTGTTACGTCACACCACTCTATTAGCATAATTCTAACTTTAATCACTACAGATCTGAACACCTTTTAAGATCATGAATTTTAAAGCAGTAGGGCAAGAGAATGAAATTACACATTTTCAGCGATGTTTTGGACAAGGATGAGACACTTCCAAAGCAGCTTTCCTTCCTGCTCTTTTCCTTAGCACTCTTCTGCCTTTAACAACAAATAAAGTGACCAGTTTGAGAATGGTTCTCATTCATTCCACTGTGGCATACTAAAGTGTTTGAAAGAACACTTGTCCATAATTTAATTCAACTAACGCTTACCAAGTAGAGTGGCGCTGACTCTCCAGGCTTCTGCTAGCTGGCTCCCTGACACTTTGGGGCACGCACCATCCAAGGCAGCCTCAAGCTCAATTGTGAATTTCTCTGGCCGAACACAGTAAATGGCCTTAAAATTGGAATCAACACCTCCTTTTAACACAATTGCACTGTTCTGTGCTAATATCTGTCTTCTTAAATGCAATACTTTTTTTTTTCTTATAACTCAGCCCATTCTTGTGTACATCTCAAAATGTATATAGAAAGCACAGAAGTATCCTAATTTCATGCTGTTTTAAAGTAGTTACAGGTTACTGTTACCTCTCAATGCCAGGACATTGGAGCATAAATTCTAAACTGTTTTTGAAAAGGTGGTTGCTTAAAACTGGTCTTCAATGGCTGGTATTAAATGTATTCACCCACACTGTTTAAGTATTAGCCTCTGCCTGGAAGAAGCGCCAGAGCGGGACGGCACCCAGACGAGATGCGGGACAGGAGCACACAGCGATGGGCACACCAGGCCTGTCGTCCTCGGGTCCTGTATTTTACTGCAACTGCTTACATATCAGAGCTCTTGGCTGGAACCCAGAACCTGACATTTGAGTGCTAACATGAGATGCAAGAACAGTACTACATCATGGGTTCAGGACTCCAAACAAGATAAATAATGAAATTAGTGTTTGATATAAATCAAAATCTTAAGGCTCTTCCTGGTACAACCTCCTTAGTTTTAAGGCTCAGAAGGCTTAAATTCTTTGTTTCCAGTCGTCCGCAATGGCTCAAATCTTAAGACAGGTCCAGACACCAGCAAGATGTACATTATCATCTGTAGGAGGGAGCTGGCTTTTCTTACAAGAAAGGCACAATCAGGATTGCCAATCTCTTGGGAACAGCAGCTTCAAATGCCTTAAAGGGAGAGGTGGAAATTCATTCCAGAAGAGAAATCAGAATGGCAGAGATTGCAGGCAACCTAACTCTTATTCAAGATATTATATTTCAGTTGGCTTTGTTAATTTGGAAAGGATTTGCCTCCTTTGGGCAGAAGGAAAAAAGCCTCCATAAGAGAATCGTGCTTGGGTTATAACAATAGTTCTCTAGAGACAATTTTTTGGTTAATTTGGACACAACTGAGAGAACGCAGATTTTACTTAGGTACAAGTCACATTGACTTTTACACACCTTAAGGATGTGAACACAGGGGAACCTGTTTTTCACTAATTCAGTCACCTCTCCAGTTCCAGTTCTAATGAGTGGGTCTCTGTCTCTCCTTCCCACCTCTAAGAATGATAAAAAACACGACCGCCTAATTACTTAAAAGCCCAAACACCTTTCCTGCTTTTGTCCTTCCTTCTACTTCTACCTTAGAAAACATCCCCTCCAACAGGGCACACCCTTTTGGCTCAAAAGAATGCCAGGTACTACTTGCTGCCACTCCTCAGGAGGCAGTAAAATTCCCAATTTGGTTAGTCCTGGTAAAAAAGGACTCACTAGATTGCAAAGTGTTTTCAGAAAAATCCACAGGTGTGGCAAAAGAACTTTAAGGATGAACTCAAAATACACACTCCAGAACCAATCCAAACGTCACACCGTCTGTCCCTTGGCATGAAAATTAAGACTGACCCACGATGATGCCCACTGCTAGAAGGGGCAGTGCCGAGGAAGTCCAAGGGTGATTCAGCAGGATCATTTCTGTGGTCTAAACTTGTAGTCTTTGCTTTAGTTTCTACTCTGGAAAACACCAAAGAAATCCAAGGCCACCTTGCCCCCCTCACCAGAACTCGCTGCTGGCGATTTCCAATCCATCTCACACCATCTGGAATTGATTGTGCTGTTTCTCTATCTTTGTAAAAAGAAGTTTCACTTATTTTGTGGTGAGAATTACAAGTGGGAGAGTGGCATCCTGTCTTCCACCAGCACAGTGTCCATCCCAAACTGGTCAGTGCACTGCTTCACGGTGGCCAGGACGCTCAGGAGCCGCTGGTCCACGGCGTCCAGGTGAGCATCGGAGAGGACGGGGGCGATGGGGTCATGTGTCATGGCAGACGTTAAGGCCGACTTCAGCACACCGTTCTTCAGGTAGTTCAGCCTGTTCCAGGTGGAAACCCGAATGCTGGAAGAAAAAGTTTTCGGACAGGTTACATAAAACCTCTCACTATCGAATGGTGTTTTAGCCTGCTTGGAAGACAAAAATAAAGAAATAATTACGTAAAATGTCTCAACTAAAAAAACCATTATGCCTAAGTCACATTACCACGTTTGGTAATTTTTTTAGGTAATCAGTCAGAGATATATATACAAAGATTTATACACATGTTCACTTAAGTGCTGTATTATATATAACAGGAAAAATGTGACCCAGTCTGAATGTCCAACAATTGGTAGTTAAATAAGTTATGGCTCATCCATTCCAGGAAGTACCACGCAGACATTAAAAGCAGTTAAGAAAATTTAGTGGCATGGGAAAATGTCCATGATATAATGTTGGGTAGGGGGAAAAGTTGGAGTCAAAAAAACTGTTTTACTCCAAATCTGTGGGGGAAAATGTGTACACACACACACACACACACACACACACACACACACGCACGCATGCACGCACGCACACACATACTCTTTTAGAATGAAGTCATTACAATGTTAACAGAAAATATCCTTACATCTTAATGGGTAATTTTAATTCCCTTCTTTCTATGTTTCTGAGTATTAAAATTTTTTTTACCATTAATATTATGAATAGGAAACGTATATTTTAAGGCCATCTATTTTTCTTAATTATTTCACCAACTAAAGAGGATCTTTTGTTTCCTCTCAGGAGAAAAGTATAGTAATACCTTGGTTTGCGAGCACAATTCATTCTGGAAACAAACTACTCGTATTGTAAGACATCGCTCGTTTACTATGTTAAAATGTATTAGAAATGTTTGCTCGTCTTGTGGAACACTTGCAAACCACATTACTCGCAATCCAAGGTTTTACTGTACTTCTCTCCTTGTGGATACTGTGGGAATTACTAGGTATGCAGAAAACCTGGGCTCTAAAAATGGCAGCCTGTTCTGCAACTATTTAAAAAGATTGATCTTTGGCTAAAGCATGGGTGCTCTGGTTTTCTTTTATAGTCACTCTTGTATCAGAGTTAGTAATTATTTATACTCAACTTTCCTGTTTAACCCATCATATCGTTTCTATCTCCTGATTGGACCAGACTGATAACATTAACTATTAACATAAAAACATCTTTCTTCAAAGATACAGTTTTTGACTGCATGTATCATTGCTTCCCAATATTAATGAAGGTAATTAAAGGTTGCCTGGGTAAACACTTTCTGCAGAATATTATAGCTACTAAAAAAAGGAATGGGGAGGGGAGGGGAGGGGAGGCCAGCTGCCAGGAGAGGCAGTCTTACTGGCCCTCGTGTCCCCAGGAGTGGGCCAGCAGAAGTGGTGTCCCTGGGCTTGCATTTCTGTGTGGATCCCAGCTGACTGTGCTCACACTTTAAAATTTTACCAGTAATCATGATCTGAAAAGGAGCTCCTTAGAGCCCAGTCTTTATCTCATTTTCTTGATTTACTTTTTAATTTCTTTGTTCTTTAACACAGGCTTTTTAAAAAATCAGTTACTAAATACCTATGAGAAACGTTACTTGTGGTTTACACACTTCAAATGAAGATATGCGAACCACAGGATGTCTGTGGTGGTGGGAGGAGTGGAAACCACAAGGTAAACACAGCACAGCGGCCAGGGACACAGATTGCACTAGATTTTTTTGGGGAAAGGACTATAATCTGATAGTAAAACAAAGATGGATATACATTACTGAAGAGACTGAAAGTTTCTGTTCATACAGAACTTGAAATGAATTCTGAGTATTGGGTTACCGGCCTCCACCTTCCCCTGATCCCCCATCTCAGGGTCTTGGGGGGTTCTGGGTTGGAAAAGCATGAAAAGCACAGTTCAGGTATTAGGAAGTTTTAAGGCCAAGAAGACGGATGCACTGTGACCTGCGCCTGAAAAGGAAGGCGAGGCAGGCGCATGCATCTGATGTGCGTCACTTACATGCAGCACTGATAGAGAGGGGCAAGAATGCTTCTCTCATCCAGCGAGGGGTTTCCAAAGCTGAAAATGAAATGAAAGCTTGGTGAATTCCGTGGAAGCACCAGTTCCTTTCTTAGCAGCAAAGCAAGAGCAAATTCTGTAAGGAACCCAAATATGATCCCAGATAATTTCATGCTCCCTCAGCTAAAATCACTAATATTAAAAATAAACCGGGCATGACCAATTAGACCCAGGATTCTTAACATCCTGTACCACAGAATCAAATAACAACTATACTCCTGTACAGGTCCTTTCTCCTGCCAAGATCCTGTAAGGTGTTGGGGCATAAGCACGGTAACAGTGGCGTCCATAACCACAGGGAGAACCGGAAGACACCTACGCCGGAAAAGGTTGTAAGAGCTGGTAGAGAAATAAAGGCTATTCATATCAGGTTCCCACCAACAAGCAGATGATCATTACTTGTATAAAGAAGCTATACTTGTTTTACTCCAAAATGACCAATCAGAAAAGACCTGAATTATCCTATTCCCTACAAGTAAGTATATAGACAGATTCAAACTGAAAAAATGACTCACAGAGGCTGTCTCAAAGCAGATATACAAATGATCTCAGCAGTAATTCAGGGTTACAAAAGGAGAACTGGTTCTAGGGAAACTGTGAACCTTCCATCCTTTTCCTGGACACTCGCCTTAATAGCTGGAGGGTCTGGTAGCCCCTACCTATTTATGCAGGCCCTCAAATAATAAGTGGCAAAGGCAACTATTTCAATGTGTATTTCCACAATATATTGGGTTGTTGGAAAAGTCATGACGTATTTTTTCTTGGTTTTTCGTTCAATACATGATCTTTTAAAAAAAAAAAAAAAGATCATTTTTACAGGTAAGGATAAAGATTTTCAGGAATGTACGCAGCACGTGCTACTTACTACCTGCTCTGCTATGAGAGGGAGACGGGGAGAGGCAGTATTTGCTAGCCCCTCGCTTTCCGCAGCTGCCATCGCCTCACAGAGCATGAAGCCCCTGGTGCTTAGTATCAGCAAATGCTGCCTTCGCGGTCTTTGCTGGGGGACCCATTTCTAAGCTTATTCTCAGCAACCAGTGTTAACAGTCGTTACCTAGAGCTGGAAGAATTCTGGGCTCCAAGGAAATACTCTATTTGGCAAACACTTATTAAATGTAACTAAAAGTGTGGTACTGAACTGGGCACCATGGAGACTGCTGAGTGAAATGAAAATAAAATGTGCTCTTCAAATAGCTCAGACCTAAAAATTAGGACATTCCATTTATTCAAAATTAATAAAATTATCTTATTGAAAATAAAAGTAACTTGTCTTTATATATAATCACTAAGCAACTCCTCTTTATCTCATGAGAGCAAAAAGTCTGGGCCTGGACTGCTTTAAAAAGAGCAAAACATCCTAGCAAAAAAAATTAAAGCTTTAAATTGCATGAACCTTTGGATAGAATAAACTTACCAGTAATCAAATTTCATGTTCTATTACAGATGTATTTCTCAAGATTCTAAACATCGTTGTCAAGAAAGAATGTGAGTAGTGATAAATCAATGACCTTGGTTTCTAGTTGTCTACAAAAAGAATCAGACTCTTTGACTCCTGGGAAAAAACCACTTTTCCATTTAAAAAAAATCAGAACCCCAAATGGGGAAATGGGTGCCAACAGTGAAGACCCTGAGCAGAAATGGGGAGGACGCCTTTTGTCACGTGTGTTCTGGGTTTTTCCAGGGTACCCGAGGAATGTCCTTTTCGTCTACACAGAAACCCCTACCTGACCAGGTGGCCCTGCCGGTCCTACCTTTTGGCATTATCGAGAAGGATGAGCATACTGGCGCCTTCATCATCTTGAAAGCTCTCATAGTGATGACGGTCAGCATTGCCAATCAGGTAATCAAAGACAGCTGTGTCGATGATATCCAAGAGGCGTGGGCCGGAGTCATAAGGGGACGTTTTCTTCACAGCGTCGCAGTAGCTCTCATCATACTCCCACCTGGAGGCAAGCAGCATCACCAGGGTTATTTGCCAAGAGGCATCACTGTCCCTGGCATTGTGTGAACAGAGGAGACAGAGCCCCTGCCTAGCAGACCTGCCCGACCCTCCATTGTGCTTGTTAGTCTCGGACACAGCCCCCGGCTGCACACAGGGCTGGCACCTGGCCAGGCACAGCAGAGAATCAGGTCGTGGCTCCCGGAGCATTTACCTAGCCAGTTTGCCCTCGCGGTAAGTCCTGCCCCACGGGTGTCGGTGTTTCTGCAGAGGCCACACATCTGGAAGCCAAAGCGTGACAGAGCCCTCCATTGTGTCTCCATCTGCACAAGCTGGCTCTGTTTCTCGACAGTAATAACACTTTCCATAGAAACAAGTGTTATTTCCTAGAGGAGAGAAAGGAGCCAAATACGCTTAAGGAAAAAAAGGGAGATTCGAAGTTTTCCCCTAACAACATAGAAGGGAGAAGTTAAGTCAACAGATACTGTGAAAACCAAGATTCTGAACTTACCAATTAAAACATTTGTTTATTTTCCATCTAGGTAATAAAAGCACATGGTGTAAAAACAATTCAAAGGTACAAAAGGATATATGAAAAAGTCAGTCTCCCTTTCTCTCTGTGTCCCTTCTACCCAATCTCACTCTCAGGAGTCCATTACTGTCACAAGAATCTTTCTGAATCTGCTTTAAGTAATGTCCTTTAAGTAATGCTTATATTTAAGAATATAAGCAAATTAAATATTTTAAAGTCTTAAAATCTGGGTTTTAATCCTAACAATTAGTAGCTTTGTGACTTTGGGAGAGTCGCTTAACTCTTTCAAGCCTCTTTGTCAGGTATGAAATGTACCGAAATCTCCCCTACTTACTGTACTCCTGTCGAGAGGATCAAAAGAAGGCAACTGTGTGAAAGTGCTTTGTCAAGATGCAAGGGATACACAGAGTTTAGTTATGATTATATCAAGGTATCTAGTAGTACATTTTTAAAAAACTGTGCTAAGGCCAGCCCATTCTTTAAAACCTACCTCCAGCCAAATGCTTCTCCCTGCCTGCTACAGGCTGAATGTTTGTGTCCCCCCAGAATTCATATGTTGACATCCTAATCCCCAGTGTGTGGCACCTGGAGGTGGGGCTTTTGGGAGAGGCCCTTATGACAGGATGAGCATCCTTATAGGGAGAGGCATGAGAGCAATGATTCTCTCTCTCTCTCTCTCTCTCTCTCTGTCTGTCTGCCATGTGAGGATATTGCAAGAAAGTGGCTGACTGTGAACCCGGAAGAGAGCTCTCACCAGAACCCAACCATGCTATTGGGTTGTCGGAAAAGTCATGACGTATTTTTTCTATGTTTTTGTAGCAAACATAGTTTTCCGACAACCCACAGCACCCTGATCTTGGACATCGAGCCTCCAGCGCTGTGAGAAATGAACCTCTATTGCTCCAGCCACCGTCTGTGATACCTTGTTGCAGCAGCCCTGAGCCACAGCCCTGTGCTGTGGGCGCGTCCAGCTCACTCCCCAAGCGCGCCGGTCTTGGGTGCTTTCAAGTCATTACGCCTTGTGCCCATTGCTGCTTCGATGCGTCTGCCTAATGCCCTTTCCTCTTAACTGCTCCCATGATTCTTCAGTACTCAGCCAGGTGTTAATGACCTCCTCTACACACCTTTTGCTGGCCTCTCCTTCCCCACACCTCACGCTGTATGCAAGTTCACCTCAGTGAGTCTCTAGAAAGCAGGGACTCTGGCCTATTCTTCTTGACCTCCTTTCATCCATCAGGAATTCATGTTTGCCTGAGCATAAAACTGAACAAGCAAAAGTGACCAGAAAATATATGAACCAAATCAGTGCCACTGTACGCTTTTGGTTATTTGTAAGAACAGCATAGCCCAGTCTTATAAGTTTAAACCCTGATGAACCTGTCACAAGTCTTTTCAATATTCAGGTTCACCTCATTTTAAATGTAAATTCATTCACCCCAACAAAGCACGATGAAGTTAATCTTGTGATGTCTGTTTCAAGTCATATAACGCAGAGCACTGTGTCACTGAAAATGTTACCATGAAGAGGCTGGGACAACAGGCCACAGCGCCTCTGAATTCTTCCCATTCCCACTGTGCGCACAAGAACAGGAGTGAGAATTTTAGCTCAGATCCCTTACCTCGGAGTGAAGTAACAACAGAGGCTAGAAGGACCGTGGCCAGTTCATGCACGTGAGTTCTAGGCTAACCCTTGCAGAGTAGGAGGAGGCAGTGGTGATCTTTAGGTTCAAATGCAGCCCTACAAGGGAACTGCTGACCCTCTTACTGAATTGACTTACGGCTTCCTCAATTCTAAGGAAACAGGAGACAGTTCCCAAGAAAGTACATGCATATGAAAAAAACCACCAAGCCAATGATATACAGGCAGTTAACAGATTTAGGCCAGAACTTGACTTTGATATTTAGCTTAAGATCAAGCAGAAGGAAATAAAGTTACCAGCTCCTTGCATTATCAGTAGCTGATCTCACTTCCTACCTCACAGACACAATCAGGAACACACTAGTGAACACTTAATTTCCTGCCATCTACCCTTCGATCCATTTCCCTCAGTAACCCGAGAGCAGGTTGCCTGATTTGCTTCTGTACTCCCGAGTTCTTCAATTCCTAAAAGTCATGACCCACTTTGTTCAATGACGCCCCATTTAACTTAGTAACTACCCCCATCTATAACCTTACCTACGGTGAGGAAGGTGCTTAAGAGCTGCTCCGTGGCAACAGGCTTGATTTCTGTCCGCAGATTAACAAATCTGCCCACCACCAACGGGGCTCGGCGGAAACCCAGAATCCTGGTTTGGAGGGATGAAGAACAGAAGAGAAAAATCTTTGGAGATATAGTTTAAATATAGTCTTAAAAATTATGGTTAATCATGTTAGATGTGTAATGGACTTGTGGACAGGTACGTAAATATTTTTTAGAGGTTATTTATGAGTTTAATATCAAGACGTATACAATTTGTTTTAATATACACTTTAGCAAAAAGGATAAGGCAAATCCGTGAAGATGTGAATAACTGCTTATTCCAGGGCGTGGGTAATGGGTTCATTATACCATTCTCTCTACTTCTATTTGTTAGGAAGTTTTCATAATAAAAATTGTAAATAAATTTTAACAAAGCATTATCATGAACCTTTCAAAATGACCGTGTAATAAATAATCCACTGTTCAAGGCTGCTGACTGACTGTCCTAAACGCAATCTCAGAAAAGCCACAAAAGCAAAGAGATCAACAGAGCTGTCAAAATAACACAAAAATTGAGAGAACCTCCTGCGGCCAGAGAAGGTGGTCAAATTCTAATGTAACAGAGAAATAGTGACTCAGAACAGGAAAGTGTCAAGAAAGAAAGGAGGGAAAGAAAGATGGGAAGTGTGTCTTCTCCCCACTGACCACTGGCCGGCCAAAGACGGCAGCCAGCTTGGTGCCAACGAGCCAGGCCACAGGCACCTGAACCTGGCTGGAGGGCAGTGAGCTAACGGGATGGGGCACTGGCTAGAGAATTTCTTTCAGATTTTGAGGTAGGGAAAGACTGCTACATACAAGACCCCCAACGCACAAGTCATAAATTGAAACATTATATTTAATTAACAGAAGAATAATTATTGTACAAAGACTACGTCATGCTAAGTTAACAAATAGGTGCTATGCTGTGAAAAGATAAGGATACTAAAATTTGCCAATAACTGGGGAAATACAAAATTAAATAATGAGGTACCACTTTACATAGATTAGGTTAAAATCAGTATGTTGGATAATCGAAACATTGGTATGGATATGGGAAAATGATCCTTATGCACTGCTGGTGACTGTCAATAGGGAAAAGGGCAGGGGTTTAGGGATGAAGAAAATAGGAAACCAAGCGAGGTCTTAGAAAGATTGATTCTGGTGTGCCATCAAGTGAGAAGTAGGATTTACCCAACTCTTTCCCACTAGGTCTTAAAAGAGGCAGCGAAAATCCACGGGATTGTGAACAAACATTTACTCAACATTTCCCGTAGCATTAGATGTTTAGATTGCTACCAGCTTTTCACTTCTGGAAATGCTCCAGCTAAAACAGTGGTATATGTATCTTTGAATTTCTGACTTCTCTAAGGTACCTCCTCAAAGTATCTTCCTAGAAATATCTTAGATATTTGCATAAAAAGGTAGTTACTCATTCAAAGGGTATGAATATTAAAGTTTTGGACACATAAGGCCAGAGTTCTTAAAAGATTGAACTAATTAACAATTCCAGAAGTAGCAAGTGAATCTCAATGTATTCCTGTCAATAAAGTATTACTGAAAAAAAAGAGAAAGTCTTTGCATTTTCAGCAGGAGAAAATAGTGACCCATTTTCAACTGATTCTTTTAAAATTACTTGTGAGGATGAACCCCCCCTTGCCATATTTATTAGCAATTAGTAATTTCTATTCTGTTAACTGTGTCCTCAGACCACTTTCTATTAGAGTTTTAGCATATGCATATATTTGCATAAACATTTACATATTAAGGCTATTAATGCTTAGATTACATTAGATTCAAGTATTTTCCCCTAGTTTGTTTACATTTAAGTTTTGTTTGATGTTTCCTGACAAATGAGTTGTTTTTTAATTTGGTTGAGTCTATTGAGCTTTCTCTTTGTGATTTTTTTAAATTATTGGTTTTATGCTTAGAAAATCCTTCCTAATCCAGAAAAAGACAAAAACTCACCTTAATTTTCTTCTGGTTTCCTTAGATTCATTTAAGAAACACTGTGACTATTTCTTTTAAAGTCTACCAATGTGCCCTGATGAAAAGAGGTGATCAGGACAGCAACTGGGACACTAGACAGTTAGTTCAGTTACAAGGTTCCTGCTGAAAAATATTAATTTTCCTAGTTAATGTAATTTTCCTAGTACCACCCAAATATAGATTTCATGTCTTTTTTTAAAATTATTCTGTTTATTGTTTTTTGTTTCTGTTAATTTATTCTGTTATATGTTTCTTATGAAGGACAATACAATTCTTTATAAGCAATGCTGTATGTTTCTATCATATGGGGATAAGTCAGTATTACTTACTTAAGACAAGGACAAAACAACAACAGTACTGCCAGGCCCAATGGACAAGCAGTTCAATTTAGGGATTTGAGTTCAAACTCTGGTTTTTATGCTGCCATTTCATTTACCAATAATATCTTTACTCATGATAACGACAGAGGGCACACCAGAATGAAATGACCTAAAAAAAGCCTGGAGTTAAGAAATCTACTTTGGTATTCCTAGTACTAGCCAAAGTATGAGGGACTCATAGAAATTTAATAGCATCAGTCAATCAACTATCCAAAGTAGGTAACAAGTCCAAGTTATTAGTCTGCACCCTTGAGAAGGAGCCCACAAGCCGTCTCCAAGATACTGTGGAAAGGAAACAAAACGAGCGTAGCCCCCTGTGATCACACGTACCTGTCCAAGTGAAAGGCTGCTACCTCTGCGTTGTGTCTATCGTAACCTGCGTACGGCTCCCCTTCTACCACATAGTCCCGCTGATACCTGCAGAGTGAACAGGAAGCACAGACGCAGACATGAATCACCCCAGTACCAGAGGGGCCAGCACAGGAGAGACCCGAGCAAGCCTGACTGCTCTGTGACACCTTCTCTGCCAACCCCGAGAACAATCGTGGATTAGCACGCACTGCTGGGAGATGGAGTGACGACCAAGTGGAAAAGGAAACCTGAATTCTGTCTCTACCGCAACAAATCATTCTATGAGAAAAATACGGAAGATGCTATTTGCACCCTTCCAAAAGACTTTCAGGTAATTTACCTGAAAATTCAGGTAATTTTCTGGAAGGCAAGGACCATCTTTGTATGTGCAGAACAGTGTTAAGCCTATAGCTGGTACTTAATAATGTTTACTAAAATGTTTATTAGACTGAACTGAAAAAATGGAGGAAAACATGTTATTAAAATGTTTGCTTACCAGAATGGCTATGGCCAGGCTTATAAATTTAAATCTCTAGGGGAAAAAACAGTCCTGATATGCCTCAGTTCTCGTTAGTCAGTATGCAACATGCATTTGAAAAAAAGCTGTTTGAATAACATTCTCTTTTTCTCTTTTAAGTTTATGATGATGTAGTGGAAGAAATACTGCACTGGAGTGAGAGCTAGGTATAGCTCTGTCATCACTGGCCCAGGTAACCCTGAGCAAAGCTCTTCTCTTCTCTGGGCCTTAGATTCCTTATCTACAATATTTGGGGCCTAGGAGGAAATTTCTAAGATCTGTTTCATCTCAAACTCCATTTGATGATTGTACATCATATGCATGACATGAACAAAGGATAATGAAAACAGGCATACTTCTTTCTACTAATCATAGACAACTTAAACCTGTTAATTGGGAAGAAAAAGATCCTTAATTCACCTATGACCTCTACTGTTCCGCTGCATTTCCTGAATCAAAAGGAGACCCGTTAGGCTTTACAGGGACAGAAATAAGCTGACACTGAAGTGAGGAGGGGACACGTGGATCTCCAATGCCGAAAAGACCATGGGGAAGTGGGAAACGGTAGGCAGTGACCTTCAACATAAATGACCTTGGACTAGCAGGGGAAACCATGTCCACAAAACACATTTTCAAGGCCAAGTAATGAAACATTTATGCCAGAAGACAACCAAGCATCACCGCCTGGTTGGACAGCAGTTTCTTCTTAGCATGGTCAATATACTCAAATGTATCTTTTTGCTTCTAGTGTCAAAGCATCATTTAGGCTACCTGCAATTATACTGGCTACCTCCAACTTAGACATCTCCATTTTTATTGAGTTGTCGGAAAAGTCATGACGTATTTTTTCTATGTTTTTTTGTTGCAAAAATGCGTCATGACTTTTCCGACAACCCAATAACTAGGCATGCAGCAGAAGCTGACGCTGTTCAAGCACTTCTGACTCCACCACAGCTGTAGGCTGCCCGTAGAGCTGGGGGACAGTCCTTGAATACCTGATGTTTCCAGGCTCCAGTGGGGCCACACGAAGGTATGTGACGATGTGCAGCCCATTCCTTTCAGTGAAACAGAGAGCTTTCCAATACATCGAAAGGCTGCTCGGAGGGCAATGTAAGACCCTAGAGGAATCTAGGAACTCTGGGGTGGGCTGAAGAGGAAGGGAGGGAAGGGGAGGGGAAAAGAGTAAGAACCAAAAGGGAAGAACTGCATGGAGTCAGGAGGTCCGAATCCTCAGCTCACGCGCTGGCTGTGAAACACGGCCAGTCAGGCCCCGGGTCGTTCTCCTCACGTGTGGGATGAGAGCTGCACCGGCCGATCTCCGTTCAGCACTTGCTAAGACCACTCACTCATGTCGACCCACTCCCAGGAGCCTGCCATCTTGTTCCTTCCTCACCATAACTGCAATTTGTGCCTGTGACAATCAATTTCCTTCCAGAATGGATAGGCTACACTGAAAAATAATCACTTGTATAATGTAAAGCAAAATGTGTGAACGAAAGCGTCCCTGTATTCCTCCACATTTCATTTGTCTTCCACGTGTGAAAGGACATGGACAGGCAGGCTCCAGCAACGCTGAAACCACACGTGGCTACCGAAGGTGCACATCTGGCCTTGGCAGGAAGGACTGAGGCTCTGCTCGGCAGAGTGATCCATCTTCAGTCACTGTCACTGCCAATGAATCACTCCCATCTTTCTGGTGAAGGACATCAGAGTTGGACCAAGGGCATTAATTTGCACTTACACTAGGACTAAATGGTCTCTAAGGCCCCCAGATCAGAAGAGCAATTTGCTGAGTATTTGACAACTGGAGTCAATTTCTACAAGCACTTAACTGCACACCCACCTTCCCGAGCCTGTGACCAGTGCCATGTGTCATCAGCACAGGTCAGAGTGTGCAGCGACTAAGAAGAGTGCTACCACCCACTGCAGGGGCCCAGACAGCTTGTGGAGTTGGGAAGGAGGGTCCCCAGGAGCTAAAAGTGGACATGGGCTGCTGAGGGAGTAGGGGACCAGTGTGACAGAAATAAAGAGCTGGTGTAGGGACTAGAATGGGAGGGGCCTGACCATTAGGATGTGGAGGCTGGGTTTTGTCTGGTGAACAATGGGTAGTTCCTGGGCATTTTAAAGCTGGGCAGCACAGTGGTAATATGGGGATTTGGGGGAAGAATGAAAGTGGTCTTCAGGATGGTCTGGAAGAGGAAAGTAATGAGAAGGTTGCAATGGCAGTGAGAGATGTGAGATGAAGCAATAGTGACTCAGGTTAGTTTGTGCATTTATCTGCTGCCGCCTCCCCTAGTCACCAGTCTGGCCTCCCCTCCCTCCACTTATGCCATGTCTGAACACCCCAGCCTCCCTGCAACGCACCTGGACTGATGCTAATACTGCACACTCCCAGGACTATCTGGCTTCTAACACTTCCCCTCACCCTCTCGCCCTCACTTCGCCAGTGTACAAACAATGGGTGTGAGAGGATGTCCTCTTACTTAAACACAAAATGCCCACAACTCATCTTGTTTTATACAAATGTAGTTTTTGTTTGCAGTTTGCCTTCTTTCTCTGATCTCTCAGGCTGTAAGCCGTGAGGCTCAAGGACCACATTTCAAAACTATAGTAGCGATTTCTGATGATGCATGTGCCAGGTCATCACACTTACAGGAAGGCGAACTAACGAACTAAAGAGAATTGCACGTGTGTGGTACAACACCAGCAGCTCACACTCCGACAGATCCAAACGCCCACTCCGCTGGTTACTGCAGGGTGCCCTTGCCAAGTTAGTCTCTCTCAGCCTCAGTTTCTTATTCTGGAAAGAACTATAACTGCCCAGTTGTGATGTGGGTCAAAGGCATTAACAGATATAAAGGCAATTTGTGCAATGTCTGCCAAATAATGTGCATTCAATGGAAATCAGATCCCAAGGCCCACATAACCATACTTTTCCACATTACGTGCCAATCGGACTTTTCTATTCTCCATAGTCTACTTACTGCATTTTTTAACTTTCCTAACTGCCATATCTTCCACACAGCACACTTCCCAGTTCCAGACAAAAGCAGATCCCTTCAATTTCTGGGATTCTAATGTATTAGTTCTCTGGCTGCCTAGTATCGGCTGAGAGTTGGGTAATGACGGGAGCTAAGGCAGCTATCTGGTCACAGTTGAACTGTGCACATCTTTACCCTGTATTTCTTCTCCAATTCCAGCAGGAGACCTACAGGTATGTGTTATAATTCTTCCAAAAGCTCCATTGAGGAATGAAAAAAATGCACACAGAAAATTTCAGAAATTACAAACTCCTAGAAAAATTCACTGGTAACTAATTCCTGGCAAAAGAATATGAATCACCATGTTAACCTATTTCAAATTCAAATACTCACAGAAAACTTTACAAAAATTAATTATACTATAGAATTGACACACAGGTTATCTCTGTAAATCCTTAGAGATGTCCAAAGGGATCACCGCCTAACAACATACAATTCAGTCCACGCTCTCATTCGAGTTTTGGACTGAGGTAATGAAAACGGCCCAGTTCTCTGCTTAAAACAGGTAAAAGAAACAAGATATCACTACAAACCTATTAGAATGGCCAAAATCCAAAACATGGACACCACCAAATGCTGGTGGGGATGTGGAGCAACAGGAAATCTCCTTCGTTGCTGGTGGGAATGCAAACTGGTACAGCTACTTTGGAAGGCAGTTTGGCAGTCTCTTATAAAGCTAAACATGCTCTTACCATATTATCCGGCAAGCGTGCTCCTTCATATTTACCCAAATGAGCTGAAAACTTACGTCTACACAAAAACCTGCACTTAAAGGTTTACAGCAGCTTTATTCATAATTGCCAAAACTTGGAGGCAACCAAGATGTCCTTCGGTGGGTGAATGAGCAAACCAACCGTGGTACGTGCAGTCAATGGACTGTTATTCAGCAATAAAAGGAGATGAGCTATCAAGCCACAAAGACAGAGAGAAACTTTAAGTGCATATTGCTAAGTGAGAGAAGCCATCTGAAAAGGGCTATAAAAGGTATGATTCCAACAATATGGCATTCTGAAAAGGCAAAACGATGGAGACAGTAAAAAAAAAAAAGATCGGTGGTTGCCAGGAGTTCAGGGGAGGGAGGAAGAGGTGGAGCACCGGGGATGCTTAGGGCTAGTCTGTACGGTACTGCAACGGCGGACACTTGTCATTATCAAAATCCACAGAATGTACAACACAGAATGAACCTTAATGTGAACTGTGGACTTTAGTTAGTAAGTTAATATTGGCTCATTAATTTTAACAAATGTACTCCACAAATGAAGATGCTAATAATGGGAGAAACTGGGGAACGGAGGAAGGGAATATTTAGGAACTCTGCACTTTCCCCTCAATTGTTCTGTAAACCTAAAACTGCTAAAAAAAAAATAAAAATAAATTACTAATTAAAACAACAACAAAACCCAGATGAAAGAATCACAGCTTCAGCACTAAACTCCACTTCAACTCTGGGAACTTCTACTCTGCAGCATCCCTGACATGTGAGTATCCAGGCTTTACGCTAATTTCCTAGTCAATTCATTCTGTGTGCCTAGTCTGGTACACAGTAGATGTCTGGTAAATTCGGAAATCAAGGGTAGTTCTAACTATAAAAAGTTCAGTCTTATGCGGAATCAAAACACGTTCCTATAAATGTCCCCTACAGAACATTAAGAGCTAGAAAAGCCAAGCCTTCAGAGATCTGAGTCCACACCTCGAATTCTACGGAAGAGAAAACCAGGAGATGAACACTCGTGTACAAACCCCAAGTTACACGCATCAACCAACCAGCACATGTAACTCCAAGGTGAAGACTTACCGCTTGGGTTTGAAGACAACTTTCTGTCCTCCTTCGAGGATCAGTAAGGCTTTTAGCTGTGTCCCTTTATAACCCACATCAGCTTTAACAACTTTCTTGGTGGCCATGGCATGCATGATCGCCCCCAGCTCTGGTGTCTCTTCGGGGTACACTTCCCGAGGAACCACCCACTGGGCTGCAATCTCCCAGGGAGACTGCAAGGTGTGGTCCAGCTTGGGCGTCAGCTCCACCCGCAGGCCAGCCATCATTCGGTGAAAAGCCCTCTGGTCCTCCCGGTTGGCAGCTGATGAATCTAAATTGTCAATCAGGAAAACCTTGGTGAAGATAAAGATGACAAGAAGAATGGCTAACAGCACGACTCGCTGCTTTAGCTTCATGTTGGCCTCTTTTCCTTCTCCCCTGACCCACGCTCTCTCCCTTATCAAGGAGAGCAGGTGGTGATGGTTAGCAAGGAGGCCCCATGATCATACACACTGGTCCATTTCTTCACGGAAGCGCCTCCCACAATTCCTGCAAGCTGAAGCACAAAGCAAAATCAGTCAGGAACTCTCTCCTTCCACACTTGAAGCTTTTGCAAACCTCAAATATATTACTTATTCTTTTGGCCTTGCTGAGCCTATGCTTGAGAAGACCTACTAATTTAAAATTAACTAGTCTGGGGAAGGACTTCATAGGTAAGAGCCAAGTACAATGAAAATTTAAAAGCAAATACTATACTCCTGTTTGAATAAGGTGCAGAGCCACCTAGGAGCCATGTGAACAGCTAAAATTCCTAAAAACCAAAACAATGAGAAAAAGCACAACAAAAGTAAAACATTAAGATATGCATAACTCCTTAACTTACATTTTACCTTTCAAAATCCATAAAAGACTTTTGTACATCCAAAACCACCAGTATTTGCAAACTTTTCAATTATTCTCTTCTCCAAATGTAAGTTTTATAACACACTGCAAGACACGAACTCCTCAAAATGCCAAAGAGAATACAGAGGAGAAGAATAACTCCTTCTCCGAGGCCAAGTACCCAGCAATCCTGGACGTGTCATAACTGCTTCTCACGTAACTACATACAACACCCAGACACATATCTCTACTTAATCAGCTTCCCACTAATTATTTTTCAAAATTAAAATCCCTGTAAAACATGGATAATCGAATCTGGATAAATTAAGTAAAGGAAAAACATATCCCTATACAGCCTGGTTATTAGTAAAACATGACCAGAAAACTAATGAGTCCTGGTACTATAGCAACACTGTGAATTCTGGACCCGTCTGGTACATAACAAAGATACTGACATAAAGCAGTGCTGCTTCAGCATGGGGCGGAGCACACTGGTCAATTCTCAAGCTAAGATATTCCATGTACAAGACTTCTGCAAGGGTGGCAAGAACATATGCACAATTCAGGCTCGTTTGCATGCTGACAGGTGGCTTTCCACAGGGCCATGTAGAAGCACGCACCAGCTTGCTCTGCTATATGCTTACAGCACAGCACTGGGCTAGGACGCAGATGACAAGAAGATAACAGGGTGTTGTTTCACTCTCCAATTCATTTAACAACTCAAACCAGTCACAGAAGAAACAAAACCGATACAAAAGATAGGGCGACCGTTCCAGGCTGAGACCCGTCAGCCCAAACTGCAGACTGCTCCCCTAGTAACAGCTGAAACACATCCTATAACAGTCCACTGGACCACAGCGAGTTCTAAGGGCAGCCCCGTGAGGCGAGCCCACCACACGCAGTTTATTCTTAGTGATTGACGGCCCACTCTTTGTTAAACAATTAGTTTCCATGAAGAAGTGCAAAGTCAGAGCCAAATTCAAATTCTAATTCTAATTATCTCCGGCCACCTGTTTTGTTTCATCACCATCACCTCCCAAGGAGTACATAACACTATCCAGGAAACAAAGGCAATTCAAGTGCATCCAAAATGTAATTGTGATGCATCAAGTTTGGTGGGAAACTCAGTAAAACAGTTTCCTGTTATTACTGATAATGCCAATGCTGGGAGAGGAGATTTCAGAGATGATGCTAATTACAACATGACCTCAAACACACAACTTTTTTTATTTTTATTTTTTTAAGATTTTATTGGGGAGCTGGGGGAGGGGAACAGCACTGGGGAATCGGAAAAGGGGAATAGACAAGTTGCTCTCCTTTTGTTCTTCAGTCTAGTTGTGGAGGACGTCACTTCACTGGCCCATGTTGGTATTATCATTGTGCTCTTCCTGGGTGAGGCAGATCAGTCACCGGCCATTGGACGGCCACTCGCGGTGGCTCTTGGCTGCTCACGCCGGCTGCCAGTTGCTCACAGTAGCTCACAGCGGCCCACTGCAGCTTCACTGCAGCCTACGCCATGGCAGCCCAGCTCCAGGTCGAGCTGTTGTTCACCATCTTAGCTGTAGAGGGCACAGCGTCACTGTCCCTAATATGGGATCTGAACCAGGGTCCAGCTGCTCAGAGCTGGCGTTCCAAGCCAGCTCTTAACCAATGCACCACTCGGCCGTCCCCACAACCTTTTCAATTATTTGTTCAACAGCACACATCTCCGGCTGCAGTGGGAAACCTCACCCAGCACCCTAGTCCTGGGGACAATCCTGGCACCAGGAGCACAGCTGAAACAGCCTTTCCCTCCCTACAAAACACTCTGCCGGACACAAGTCTGGTTAGCCCACCAATTTCTAATGGTGCTGCGCATTTCATTTAGAGTAACAGAAATTCTTCCCTCATGCTATATAAACAAATCATATCCTAACATTTAGAATAAAGGTCAGGGATACTGAGGGTTTTTTTTTTTTCCTTTTTAATTAAACCACCAATGCAACAGGAAGTTCTGGCAGCTCCAAAATTCAGACAAGAAGAAGCTCCAACTCTGCAACCTGAGTTTGTGTGCTTTTACGTTTTGATATCTCATTGCCTTTTGAACAGGCCTCAGAAACATATTCATCAATGGAGGGCTGCAAACAAAAATCCACTCAACTAGGGTAGAATTTCTACCAAGTGAACTGCAGGATTTGACTGTTAGGTTATTTCATAATTTACCTCTGCAGATTAGCAGTGAAGGCAGGTTTAAAGCAGAGGCTAAGCGAGTTGTCATGTATGTGATTAGTCACCACATCTGGTACAAGAAGATCACAGTTTGGCCCTGTTCTCTGCAACTGCCCCCCATACCCACACCACCAACCTAATCTAGAGCTTATCACCTTAATTGGGTCACTGAAAGAACTGCCTTCCGGGGCCCCTGGTTCTCCAGTCCAGACTAAATAATGCAGCAAATTCAGCTTTCTAATCACACACCACTACTGATTTCTACAAATACCTTTCAAAGGCATTACAGCCCTACCCTAAATGGCTTCAACCAAACGAACCATGAACATGGTCTGGATGCCTCCCTCATATGTAGTTGACCTTTGCCCTTGTCATTTCTCACACAGGAATGCCCTCAAAATTCCTCTTGCTTTGACCCTTTCTTCCCATCTTCTATTTAAAGCCTGATCAGTCTTCCACGGGTCATTTCCAAAGCCATCTGGTCCCTCCTCACTCTATGGTGACCTCTCTCCTTCAGACCAGTGCTTAACCACATTTTGCCGGTCCAGTACCTTCCTGTACACAGTTCCTAGTTCCCCCAATCTTGGCTCCTCAGTGATCTTGACTATCTTCACATTCCCTGCAGTACCTAGGATAGGAAGGGTAGGTGCCTTATTCACCTCAACTGAACAAACTATTACAAATGAGGCTTTGCAAGTATCTTAAGACTCTGGTGTTACTCTCCTTTGGTATTTAGTATCAAAACGAGTGTGTATCAACTGGCACCTCAATGTTGGCTATCCTTAATCTGCCACATTCCCTTTGTTTGCCAATCTATTCCTCTACCAACACTACTGATACTGACAGTTCAGAAAGAGGTTTTCTTTTAGCTGGAAAGCTGCAACTCCTCCAGCCTACAGGGCAAACATAAACACATTTAAGAAATCGACCATGCAGAGATTATAGAATTTCTACAAAAAGTCTATGAGTTGTTAAGACTCTTATTGCAGAAAAAGGTATGAGATGCATGATATGGAATAATTCCATCCTCTAATGAGGGTGTACTTCTCTCCTGTATCCTTGCCCAAGACAAGGTTTCCATGTTATACAATTTTCTTATCTTACTTGAGACAGCAGCATATTATACATACACTCTGCTACCTGGGTTTCTAAGATCCCCATTGCAGATACTAAGAAAATGAAAGCAATATCACTGGGTATATATTCATGAAAACCTCACATGCATTCCCAGAAGACTTGCCTGCTCTGTTTCATGCCCTCACCTCCTCCTGGAAATGCCTCCAATGGTGTAACACTGTGAGGTTATATTATGGTCATTTATTTTAATGTTTCTGTTATGTGGAACAGAGCCTACCACAAAGAACAAATAACTCATGGTAATAACATAACTCAAAACAAGTTAAATGTAAAAGAGGCAGTGCAAGTGGTAGTCTTCACACTAAAAGCTGGCATAAACACCGACTGGCGCTCTGGAACGTAGACCTTTACAAAGAAATTTCCTACTGAACCCTGGTTTCACTCTGAGTTCCATCAGCTAAATGAGGCTGGAGGCTCCATTTACTTTCTTTCTTTTTTTTAGCTGAGCCATCCTGCCACCTGTTGGCAGCTCAGCGGCTGCTCAGCTCTGGCCAGGAATCAAACCGGCGACCCTGTTGCTCAGAGCTCGCACTCTTGAGCGAGCTCTTAACTAACTGAGCCACTCGGCCGGCCCCTCCATTTACTTTCATTCTACACATTCACACACACACACACACACACACACACACACACACACACACACCCCTACATGCTTCATAAATGTTTTATACAATCTTAGGACCTACTAAGTTGTTTGGGGAGAAGAGATACAGATTCCACAGAAAAAAGTGAGGTCTTTGTACAAACCCTTAGAATAAGAGAGGTTACCATAGAGGGTTCAAGAATCTGGCTTCTGTTGGAGGGACATATACAGATAAATATGTTGGTGCAGAGGTCTCTAAATCATCGTGTGATAAAATTCAATGTATGTGGCTGCTGAGGAACGTGAGAGCAACTGGCCCTGAAACTCACTACCTTTCTTGGGGCTCCCACAAGTTACCAGTGAGGGTCCAAGCTTCCTTAGTAGCAGTGCCCCTTGGATCTATCTCCTTCTGATCAAGGGACAATCTCACGCTACTTCTCCTAAGGTCAGAGAAGAAACTCTAACCTTTGCTCATAGCAACTAAAAGTGAAATCTTCAGTAATAATCCTTTTTCATGTTTCCAATTCAATGGTCATATCAAGTTCTTATCACATAAATGGAATGTAATATGCCTTGTAAACACAAGGTACTGTAAAGAAAACGTTCAGTATGAACATTTCATCCGGGGATGATTAACCAAGGAGATTTGTGGCAAAGGGGACAGGTTTATTATATAACTAGTATATGATCATATCTACTCCCACAAGCTCCCTGTCCTTGATCCTGAGTAGGAATTATACGGACCCTTTTACAAACTTCTTTGAT